AACTCATTAGTTTTTGGAAAACTTCTGATCAAAAAATGAACAGCGAGAAACTCATCAACTTGACTAATATACAGTTTAAAAAATTCATCGAAGTTTCACTCTCTCCTAGACTTTGTATTTCAAATACATAAGACTACATGTTTCTAGCTACTTTCGTTCTTGAGATATTCAAAAAGATATCGAGGTTCACTGTATGTTGACGCCGACAATAGATAGATGAATGATCAAATCTTTGTCTATGAAACATGAAAATATTTTTGATCAATCAACATCTTCACTATAAGTCGTGTATTTTTTTTTTTTGAGTAAAATTTTCAGAACAATCTAACAAAGGTAGAAATTACTCATGAGCAATATTTCAGATCGCAGCTGTATGATTCAATTTTTGATTAGGTAGCTTACTTGAGGTCGAATAGTGGGTAAAATGGTTATCACGTCTAAAGAATAAGGGTTTGAGAGTAAATCCTTGTGAACTTGTATTAGTCAATCGAACCCTGGGGTCGATAGATATTCGACATTTGGATACAGTTTTTGATTAGTGTTAAATCTTTTTTAATTGTATGACTATAGAACAAGTAGAAACAAAATATTGGACTTGAATATCAATAAATCGAAAATGACTACCTCCTAAATGAGAAGTGGCCGAAATTTCGTAGATAAGACTTTTGTAAGTTATTACAAAACAACATTAATATAGAATACATGTGAAGGTTGAAGCTAATATTATTAGAATATCCATATAAATAGACATTTGAAAAATTGCGGAATCTAGAGATAATTATAGTATATAATTTCTATTGGAAAATTTTAAAATGACACTTTAATAATTTCATTTTTGTTTTAGTCTCAAATAAAATGTCGATTTTCGGATTCCTGTATTATTAATATTCATACACGTCGTCAATGTGTATCATGTCGATTAAAAAAATGTTTTAATATTAAAATGCGTAAAGAATGGATTCGTACTGAAGATGAAAAAAACTTAAGACGTTTACAAAAATTAGCAAAAGAAAAATTAAAAACAATTGATCTATCAAATGATCAAAAATCTCTTATTACATCTTCAATTGTTCGACGAAGAAAAAAAAGTTTAATAACAAAATCAACTAATCAAGAACTTGTTATTAGTCCAGTAAATATAGATAACTGAATAATAATCTTTATTTTTTCTTCTATTAGATTTATAGAATGTATCATTCTGGTTTTAATTCTATTCTATATGATGAAGATCGAACATTAATAAATAATATTAATAATGTTTATCAATTAGCAATAAATAAAAATGATTATTCTTATATTAATAAATATACATCATTAACATCTTTTTTACAATTTATAAATGATGAAAGTATTATGCATGAATCATTAATAAATTTTTTTAAATTTATACCTGAATTTAAACAAATAGATATTAATGATAAAATATTATTGATTAAATCGAATTTTATTAATATTATACATTTACATCGTATGATAATATATAATTTTCAAGAATGTTCAAATCTTAATCAATGTGTTTCTAAATGGATTGGTAAAGATTTTCATTATCAAATGATTCGAACTCGTCAATATTCTAATCGTTTTATGAATTATCCAATATTATTAAAACTTGCATTAGCTGTTTTTATCTTTAATGTTAATTTATCTGCATCATGGGATAGGAATCAATTTTATGAATATAAAAATCAAAAAATATTATTTGAATATCAAAATTATTATATAAATATTTTATGGCATTATTTAAATTATTTATTTGATGAAAAAGAAGCTATTAAAGCAATGGAAATAATAGTTATGCAAATTTTACGTTTTCAATCATTAATGGTTACATTAGAGAATTTTGTAAGACAATGTCCAGTTTATGAACAATTTCATTCATTAATGCAATCTATACTTGGACTTACTTAAAAGAAATATATCAATATTTTATTTGTTTAGATATATATATATACAGGGTGTCCCATAAGTAACAAGACAAGGAAAAAAAGTTTGAATATCTCCATTAGGGCTCGACCAAATGGGCTCAATTTTTTATCAAGGATAGAGGCATCTGCACACTCCAAATCCATACGAACAAGGTGAATGAGAACCTTTGTTAAGTATCGCTAGTGACCTCAACAATAAAATTTTTGCTTTGTCACTGGTAAGAAAAAACCAATATACAGGATAGTGCAAAAGTCACTTTATCGAAAAGAAAATTAAATATTTCCATTACGGCTCGAGCAACCGAGCTGATTTTTTACCAAAAATAGAGGCATGCTTATACTTCAAATCCATACAGACAAGCTTAGTGAGGACCTTTGTTAAGTATATTTTTTTATTTTCCTGTTTGTGAAAAAGTAAAAATTTTATTGTTGAGGTCAATAGTGATACTTAACAAAGGTTCTCATTCACCTTGTTCGTATGGATTTGGAGTGTGCAGATGCCTCTATCCTTGATAAAAAATTGAGCCCATTTGGTCGAGCCCTAATTGAGATATTCAAACTTTTTTTCCTTGTCTTGTTACTTATGGGACACCCTGTATATATATCTACAATTAGTTGTATAATTGTCTAATGATAGATTTTGTTTCTTTTAATTATTATCATAGTGAAAAAGTTACAACTGTTTGTCATGTGTTCATTTTTGTTTTTGACATAATAAATTGAAAAAAAAACTTTGAAGTAAAACAAAAACATATAGAAATTCTCAGAAAGAATACAATTCGTTTTAGATCTCTATCATTGCTTTATTAGGAAAGTTTTTTAATGTGATTATGTCTGTAGTTGATTGCATACGCATTGGATCTTCATACTTTGCATGTTTTCTACTGAAGGAAAATTTGTATTTAGAAACTGATTCGAACTTTGTTAGAGATGATACAGATATTTTTGAATCTTGAATATGAGTTTTCTTCCATTTAGAAATTACTTATTCGACATATAATCCAAAGTTATTATTAATAGTAATGAAGATTTCGAAAATGAAAAGTCGGAAAATACAAGTTCAAACATATGAATGATATTTGATGATTGAATGTATACTATTTATTTTTCAATCTTTAATATAACGTTCCATTTTCTTACTGAAAAAAATTCGAAAAAGGAATGTTTTGCAAACTTCATATTTCTTTTAACTTCGAGAAATTAAAACGATGGTAGCAGCAAAAGATAACTGCTACTCACGTGACTTATATATAAGACAGTTATGAATACAGTTGACAATAGATAATGAATGAGAGTGATCAATCAACAGTCTCGATTAAAAAGGCATGTTTACAACTGTTAAAAGAGTTTTCTAAGTCATGATTTTTGCAATGTCTATTTTTCAATTTCATTTAAACTTCAATCAATTGAAATGTGAATTTTCATATTAACAGTGGCAGAAAAAACACTGATTGTAAAGACAAAAAAAAGTAAATTTCTTTTAGAGAAAAGCGCTTTACGATAATTTATATCTTCTTCAATACTTGAATGAGATCATATAAATTTTGTAATTGGTGGTATGCATAGGTGATGATTAAAACACAATTCTTGAACATACAAAATCTATTTAAATAGTTTATTTCATACATTTTATAATATTCTTGCTAATACAATAAATTGACTAAACATCATAAGAGAAAGAAAGTGTCTCTTGTTGCCTCGTTGTTAACTATATTCTGCCTACATCAAAAGAAACTTGTTATTAAACCCTGATTCAATCGGAGCCAACAATAAAAAGAATATGTTATGTAAAACAGAATTTATTATATGAAGTCATGCATCATAAAGACAATTTTAACTTAGAACAGGCTCATAACAGTTTAGAAGAATAAAAAACGATATGCTACGATTGAACAAATCAACGTATTAACTTAGAGTTTCGTAGAATTCACATATATTTTCTTCAAAAATATATTGAGTAGAAGTTTAAATCAAGGCTTTTTTTCAGCTTCTTATACCGCTCCTAGGTCTTAGCAACCGAGGAAAATGAAAGGAGGCGAACAATTACTAGGTACATATCAGAGATGGACAAAATCGCACCGCGCCGCTGCTCGCGCCTTGGCGCTACGCACATCTCTCTTTCTCTTTGCTCTACCAATCAGTTTCGCAAACTCCACCGAATATCGGGATGCTCTAAGCATGCGCTCATCGAAGCTCAGACTAGTGTAGCGTAGGCGTGAGCAACGGCGCGGGGAGGCACGGTGCGTCTTTGTCCATCTCTGGTACATATTCCCTAGTAATAGGAAAAAGCGTGAATGTAATAACAGTGTTTTAGTCATTCTGGAACTTTCTAGAATCTTCCAAAACATTCTATGAATATGATATTTCCATTGTAAACGCTAGCTAATCTAAATATTACAAGCTATGCAACGAAGGAATGTTAGTGAGGATGCCAATGAGTAAGACGATGGTAATATCAATCTAGCAGAGTCAGAATAGGACAGACAAAAAAAACCAATGAACTGACCAAATTATAAGTTTAGGCAAAACTCAACAATCTATACCAAAGTTCATCGAAAGAAAAGATTTCACAATGAACGTTTCGAAATAGTAGATAAAGTAATTTTTTAATCATGAGAGTTGAAAAAAATTTGTTCTAGAAAAAAACTATCGACTCGATCGGATATGAGGTTGATAAGAAAGGATCAATTTTAAATAAATATGTCAGAGTATGACCTTCTTATGAAAGAATACTGTCTTAAAAATAATGCTTTGATTATTGTTTAAATAATTCTTTCTATTCAATCATATCCATAAATCGAGATGTTAATAAGAACATTTAAACTTGTTCTCAAACGAATTTTATCAGAACAAAAAAACAAAAGGCATATCTATAAAATGTATTTCAACCATATCAAGTATAAGATCTATGAAAACAAAAATCTAATTAATATGTAGATTTTATTTAGAAAAATAAAAATGTTAGATTTGCTATATCATTATAATGAAGAATATCAAAACAATTATGAAAATAAAATAAGTATTATTGACGAATTTCATCTGTCCATTTGTAGGTGTTGTTGTTATTTCCTTAGGTTCTCCATTACAAAGATTAGTATTACAGCAACATGAATAATATGCAACATTAATATTATTTGTACGCCATTCACATTTATTTTCTTTACAATCATCATTCTGTGCCCAATTTCGAGCATATATAGACTCACTAGTTTGATTATCTTTACTATATGTCTATAAAGAAGAACAAATTTTTTTTTTTTATATATAAAATAATATTAAATTTTATATGAATTATTTACAAGGCACCAACCACTTATCGATGTTACTTGTTGAACAGTACTTGGGTTCCATGGTTTTGGACATGTTTCTTCATTACAACTGTAACATTTTATATTAGAACTATTTATTAATAGGACATCTTTAAATGTTAAAAGAGAAAGTTTATACATGAGATATTACTAATATGATTTTAACTTACTAGTAAAAAAGATGACAAAAATAAAAATGAGACGACATAAACAAAACATTTTTTCTAATTTATAATGATATGCTCACTCAATTTTTGATAAATAAATTTATCTTACCTTTGTCAAATAATGTCTAGTGAGAAATGCATGAAAATACAAAAAAAAACAAACCACATATCTATAACAACTATTATCAGTATTTGCTATCAGAATGAAATAGTATATGCAGCTGATTATACTAAAAACTTTTTATTTATTGAAAGAACGCTATGTCACATTTCATAATACAACTGAGAATAATATTTATCTTTCAATGAATCATGAAGAATAAGGCAATCCTGGTTTATTTGCACTTTCTAATAAAAATCAAGTGAGAGAGCTTGCAAATCTGAGATAAAATAGGACAAACATAAGTTCGATAACTAAATGTGTTTTATTCTTAAAATAAATAATTCGAAAGAATTCAAATTAATCGAGAAGAAAACAATTTCGAAATATATTTTACTAGTAAAATTTTTTGCAGTACTTTCTATAATAGAAAAACTGGAACCGATTTAGGTTTTATGGTTAGTTAAAGAGGATTCTGATGACATATGAACATTTATCAAATTTCATTGAAATCAACAGAATTCTTTTAATTTTAATAAACTTCAAAAATCTTCACTCATGACACGATAATTATCACATAGGTTCATATAATAGATTATACAAAAAAAAAAAAGAATTAATGAGTTTTAATACAATTTGTAAAACCAATCAACTGAATCAAAAGAGATTATGAAATGTTAATCTCTTTAAAAAAACAAAACTAAAATAAAAAGTTTTATTAAAGTTTTTGAATAGAAAAACTAGTTATACGAAAAATTTTTGCAACTTGTAAAGATAACATTAAAGTTCTACTTCAACATGATCAGTCAGTTTGATACTCGAATACTATTTTTTTTGCAATTTATGGTCAACGTATCATGCTAATGATCTGTTATTATTTAAACTGTCTTCAAAGAAAAGAGACTTGGCAAATATTTGATCAATATAATTTACGAAGATGTAGCACATCGAAATATATTCATATTATGTAACCTACGAATTTCAAATAGTATTGAATATATCAACAATAGAATTTTCTTAGAATATAGTTAATCAAGAAGTACAACGAATATATGATATTATATATTTTACAAATATAATACGACTTTGAACTTTGATTATCGAGAATCTATTTAAGATTCTCATCATGTATATTGTTTCTGATAGATTTAATCTTTAGATATGTAAGTGTCAATATTCGTAAGTATACAGCATCATACATGTGCTGTCCCATGTCGTGAGAATCACCGCGATTTTCGCGATTTTCTAAAAAATTGGCGTAAAATCGTGATTTATCGTATTTCTTTAAAAGATCGACGATTATATCAGATTTTATCGCGATTATGGGAGAAGAGCTGATTTTCAAAAATCATTGATAAATCATGACAATTATTCATTCACCGTTTTGTTATGAACACACACGGATATATAAACAACGCCGTTCAATGCAAAACAAATAAGTTTTCGAAATATACTTTTCTGATAAATTATTTCTTGGTTATTTTTAATCAAGGAAATACCAATCCCGATCCATGATCCGGAGAGGACTACACTGAAGCGGTCTGATAAGAATCGGATCAGCTCGAGATCGGACAGATTGCACGATCTGATCGGCTTGGATCTTGAGAAAAAAAAAATTGAATTAAATTCAAGAAAAAATCCAAATATGTGTCTCCAAAAGAACCAATGAAATAGTAGAAAATATCAGTAAACAGACGGTTAAATCTTACATAAAATCACGATTTATCGTAAAAATCGCTGAAATAATCGGGAATAATCGGCGATTCTATCGCGATTCAGCTCACGATTATCGTTTCGATGAATCGGGATTAATCGGCAATTTTTAGCCGATTCAAAGGACATGGAGTAATTTTTGATTAACTATATATGCTAATGTAAAATATCTTTAAAAAAAATCATTTTAGAGAAACATTTGACAAGTTTCGTTTCTTTGAAGTGTTTAATATATCAAAAAATCATTAGTATTATGTGTATGCTATAAAGGTTAAAAAGAATCACACTTTTTTTGACCTATGACTAAAGTTATGTAGAAAAAAAAAAGTATTGTTCTTTTCATTTTTGTATGTATGTCTTGTTTACGCTTTTCTTCTCTGAATAGTTAATTTTATTTAATACAAATAAACTGATATTTACAAAACATAACAAAACTTGAATATACATAATATCAACATGAATAACGGAATATGCATCCTGTCTAATACTTTATACAATATCATGTAGTATTAAATTTCAATTAAATAAAAATAAGAAGATATTTTTTGTTTAACGTTGACAAAATTTTTCGTATACTCTAAATAGTATAGTGAATCATCTTCATTTCTCTTATTTTTAATGACTAATGATATTACTATTCGAATATTGAGTATCGATCAAATAACATAATTGTCTTGCTTTATTCTATATAACGTTGATTGTGCTTCATCACACACCTTTTAAGGTTTTTCTTGATGATTCATTCATTTACATTACTACTAACCAAACAAACAAACCGAGCAGCATTTCTTTTTTCTTCCTTGAGCATAAGCGACTCATGCTTGTTGAAAAATACGAGAATAAAAAAGTGTATTTTTTTGTTTCTTTTATATATGATTCTGTTAAAGTCTGTAAGGTAAAAAACCCTCTTAAAAAACGACGATGAGTGTCTTATTCCATCTTAGAGTCATATAGTGATACAATCACGTAAAAAAAAAATCGATGCTGATTTATTCGTAAGTTTAAATAAGATCACAACAATTTTGAAATAGAAAAAAAAAAATTTTTTTATACAATAAATACAACAATATAAAATATATTCTTGGATTCAAGTATATAAACAAATTGTATAATAATTTTTCTAGAGAAATGACATTTTTGTGAAATATGAAGTAAAATTTTTAATTTTATAGATATTGATAATAATGGCTATGATATCGACTAATCAATATCATATGTCATCATTTGATTTTGATGATTTATTTTTGTTTTCTGATGATTTTTATCATCAAAATGAATATGAACAATTTTGTACTTTACATGATGATTTAATTGAAGACAACACATCATTATCTAAGGTAAAACAATTTTAATCTATTATGAAATATTTCTATTTTTATTTTAATCATATTTTTGTTAGAATAATCAATATCAACAACAAACATTATTACATAATAATTCAATAAAAGAATCAAATTTAGAATGTCGTGTTTGTGGTGCTTCAGCACAAGGTTATAATTTTGATCAAATAACTTGTGAATCATGTAAAGCATTTTTTCGTCGAAATGCATTACGAGATATGGTAATAAATATCAAAATTTATTAAAATAGAACTCAAAAAATTTTAAAGATTCTATTCTAAATATTTGACTATAGAAATATTGAATCTTAACTAATTCTTTGAAATATCTTTATTACAAATCATTAGATAAGATGCAAATATTCGAACGAGTATTAATTCTATATCAAAAATATACATGTAACTAGATACATTAGAATGAGTGGGAGCTTAGTATATTTATTATAGAATATTGTGAATCAATACAGAAATGGAAAGAAGATATTGACTTATTTTATGAGAAAATGTATTTAACTATCGAAAGTAAATCAAAGTTCATAGTTTGTTGATAAGACGAATTCTATAAGACTAGTAAAAACCTCATAGAATTTGTACTTGTAACTTTTTCTTTTACGATTATATCTATTTTATTAAATTTTTCAACATCTGACAAGTTATCTTACTATAGAAGTTTCTTCTATGAGATATGAAATTTTCTTGATCAGTCTATATCTCTTGACTAGAAATCATGCTGTTTTTATTTTTCAATTGAAAGTTTCAAAATAATCTAATAATCAAGTTCTATACTTGAATAAAATTCTTGATTAGTGTTCTAATCGAAAATTTTTCTATAACAAATATCAATGATAATTCTTTTTCTTTTTTCAGTCTCAACTAAAATGTCGTTTTTCTGGTTCTTGTATTATTAATATTTTCACACGTCGTCAATGTACGTATTGTCGATTAAAAAAATGTTTTGATATTCATATGCGTAAAGATTGGATTCGTACTGACGAAGAAAAAAAATCAAGACAATTAATTAAATTAGTAAAAGAACAAAAAAAAACAAATATTCTAACAAATGATCAACTATCTCTTATTAATTTTCCAATAGTTATACGAAAAAAGAAACGTTTAATAAAAAAATCAACAAATCAAGAATTTATTACTAATTCAGTAAATATAATATAAATAATCGAATATTTATTTTATAATCTTTATTTTTCTATTACTAGATTTATGAAATTAGTTTTTTTGATCTTAATCATAATTTACATAATAATGATCGAATATTAATAAATAATATTAATAATGCTTATCAATTAGTAGTAGATAAAATTGATTATTCTTGTATTAATAAATATACATCATTAACACCTCTTTCACAATTTATGCATAATGAAAGTATTATGCATGAATCATTAATTAATTTTTTTAAATATATACCTGAATTTAAACAACTTGATAAAAATGATCAAATTATATTGATTAAATCTAATTTAATAAATATTATACATTTACATCATTTAATAATGCGTAATTTTCAAGATTGTCCAAATATTGGTAATCATATGTCAAAATGGATAAATGAAGATTTTCATAATCGAATGTCTCGAACACATCGATATTTATTTCGTTTTATGAATTATCCATTATTATTAAAACTTACATTAATTATTTTTATTTTTAGTATTAATTTATCTGCATCATCAGATATAAATCAATTTTATGAATATAATAATTCAAGAATATTATTTGAATATCAAAATTATTATATAAATATTTTATGGCGTTATTTAAATTGTTTATTTGATGAAAAAGAAGTTATACAATCAATACAAATAATAGTTACACAAATTTTACGTTATCAATTATTAATGGTTACAATGAAAAATTCTGTACAACAAAGTTCAGATTGTGATCAATTTCATTCATTAATGAAATCTATATTTGGACTTTCATGAAAATCATATATTGATTGAATAAATGTTATTTTGTTTGTTAAAATATAATTCTATTACGAAAGAATAAGAAATTTGAGAAAATTACATGAACACATGAATGTTTATATTTGTATAATTAGTTGTATAACTGTATAATAATATATTTTGTTTGTTTTTATTTTAACTATTAATATTACAAAAAACTTTCAACAGATTGTTGTGCATTTAGCTATTTACAATAATATGTTGAAAGAAGTTTGAAATGAAAAGTGTTTAAAAATATATGATACTGCTCAGAAAACTGTGATGAGTATTTTTAGATCATTTTAAATTTTCATTTTTTTTTTCTTTATGATTGAAAGAGATTTTTTTCGGATCTCTTTTTCTTGATCGGAACTAAATCTTCTGTCTCATAGAATAAATTTAATTCAAATAAAAAGTCTACAATATCTATGAATGTAGAATATTGGTGTAAATATTGAAAAGTAACATACAAAAATATGGCTCACTGTGACACTGACTACACTGGTATTGATTTTCAATATAATATTAGGACACGAGCTCTACTAAAACATGCCCTTTTTATAGTGTTGTGTTTCAATACTTAAGTGAGCATTGGTGTCACTGTATACTATCCTTGTAATAAAATCGATACTTTATGTAGTGATGACTTAGAAAAGAACGTGTTGCTAGAAATTCGTTGAAACTTTATTCGAGAAATTGATGTCTCAAGATGACACAAACGTTTTTGAAATTTGAATATGAGAGTTTTCATTCATCTTCAGTAAGTTTCGTAAAACAGTAATTATCATGATTTGATTTCTACCTTTCCTCCATGATAATTAACAGTGGTGAGCTACTCTGCATTTAGTTGAACTACTAGCTTTTATGAATAGAACAAGATCGAATCTAGTTATAATCGTTTATCGATTTTTTGTTAACTTAAACATCATTACTGAAATTTAAAAACATTTCGAAACATATTTCTATTGATCGTGAAAAGTTTAGAAAATGCTAATACAAATGTGAGAATAAATTTTCGTGATAGAATCTAAATCATTTGTTTTTTGAATTTTCAACAGAACGTTCCATTTTCTCATAGAATGACATCCGAAAAGGCCTTTTTACAGACTTATTATTTTCTTCAAACTTCGAGAAAAGTAAAGCCATAATAACCGCAAAAGTTAGCCGCTATTCACATACCTAATATCTGATATAACTCGCAATACCTATTTTTCAAAACCAATGAAAAGTAAACTTCTTTTGTTTACTTGATAATTATGACCTTAGAAGAAAAACCTACTAAAAAATTGGATGAATCACGTAAAATATAACTTGCATGGATATGTTCAGTCTAGTGATCCTCTAAGTAATTGAATCAAAAGTTCCTTTCATGTCTTAGAAAATTATATCATCAACTAGAAATCATCAGGCTAATTGTTCATTCGTT